CCCCCCTCCCCTTTGGCCACTCTATAGTGTGGGAAGAGCCAATGTTTATCGATTGTTAAGGTCTATAAGATAGTGTGTCCAACTATTGGGTAAGATGTGTGTGTGTGTAAATTTGGGATGAGAATGGTTGATGAGATAATCCAACCACCGCTGATGTTATCATTAACTCATCTATACGTTAGTGCTTAGGCAGATTGAATGAACATTTATCCCTTAAGTTAAATGTACTGCCACTATTTACAGCCTAGTTGTTGAAGAAACGAAAATTGATAAAACTGAGTGTGTAGAATCAATCCCAGTGTCTTCGAAAAACTCTCTTGAGAGGTGGGTTGAATTATTCAATAAAGTACTATAAAAATTATCTGAGTTGCTTAATTACTTTTCAACCACTCATTATGTCTACTTAATTTCACATGCTGATATATTCTAAACCAACTATTTTGTGTCTAGTTCGTCAACTCTGGCTGAGGTTGTAGAGTCTAAACAATCAGCATTTCCTGATAACTGGTTAGTTGCTGATTCAATCAAATTACTTGATTTCTATGTAATGATGTAAAAAAGACGATGATGAAGTGTTACTTTTGAATATTACCCGGGACGCATTGTCATCTCTTGGTATATACCTTCCGTGATATCTAAATTCGAATATGTTAGTTGACCACTGCACAACTATCGCGGTACAGCAAAGAGTTTTCGAAGCTCTCAGTTGGTTAGTAGTAGTTATTCGGTCCAACCACCAGAAGCACACAGACGATTTCAGGTCTGAGGTTCTTTAAGTTCTGAAATAAAAATGCACAGCTGACTAAAAAATTTTGGCCAAAGGCCAGCTTTAAGTGAGGAGAGTTGCAAAATCACTTCAACTGGAGCCACATCAAGTGCTTGACTCTTTGACGCCCGAATTATTTTTTGAAAAACGCACCCGATCGCACTCACGCATGCCTCACAGCAGACTGATGCCGCCGACTTAATGAGTCTTAGCAGTATCAGGCAAAGTCCTTAGAAATGTATTGAACATGTTTCAAACGGCAATAACGCCTTCAGTTAAGTGTCTAGTACCATTTTAGCATGTCTTGACAGAGGATATTATAAAGGTTAAAGTAGAAATAAAGAATTATTATAACAAAATGGAGATGAGTTTTACTTAACACTACCTCAATCTTCTATTCGTCAAATGTTGTAATTAGGTAAATAAGTTAAATGTTCGCTCTTTTTTGTCTAGCTTCAGTTCCTCTCTTCGGCTTTCCGTCAGCTCTCTGCTTCCTATTCTGTTGGTTCAAACTTGCCTTTTGTTCAGCCTTGTTTTTTGTTCAAGAACCACTTATCATCTACCTCCACCTTTCTTACTCTTCTTACGTTTGTAGACCTCAGTCTCCAATATTTACACCGGACCAGGAGGTGTCTGCCTCAATTACAAAAAAAGAATTTGAAAGTATCCCAACAGTAAGCGGATTCAGTCAGACTGATGCACAATCTTTCAGCGATGGAGTCTGGCTAGATCCGGATAGATCTGAGGGAGAATATGGTGGGATACCGATTCGCGTAATTGAACAGGCATCTCTAATGAGTAAAGAATTGGGCCCACTTCCTTCTATGAGTGCAGTAAGCTCAAGTTTTATTGATATCACATGCTTTCTGTCCAGATTTATTTTCTGCACCTTGTGACGAGAATATACATTTGAGGTTGGGGAGAACACGGTTGCAGAAAGGTGATGTGTCTGTGTTTTCGGATCATATAAGATAACCAAACTATCAGTTATTGCAAATATTAGCTCCTAACGCATCTTAGAATATCAACACCACGCTTTGTCAAGATTTCAGTCTTGGCGTTTCCTTGTTTGAAGATTCGAGTTCAACCATTCCTTTAATAGCCTACATTAAGTAGTATAGTCAAGCAAATACGTTCAGTAAGTGGGTATCGATTTGCATCCTACCCCTGATCTATTACTGAGTCGTTAGAACATTTCGACCGGAAAGTACTTAAATGTGGGAGATTCAAATCAATAATCGATTACGGAGGGCGCTTTGATAGCAGATAGGAGCTATTCCGACTGTGCCCAGTTTTTGTAGTTTCTCATACGTAAAATATCCTATTATAAAACCAATTGAATTAAAATTCATGCGGTAAGTGTTGAGAGGCCCATAGAAACTCTCCCTTCGTCATAATCCGAATCAGTTGGGAAATACAGACTCAAACTTTGGTAAACTGACTAAAGCAGGCTCTGTTAACATCCATTTATTTAGAGAATACAGGATATTAATTGATTTCACATTACGAGGATGGATTACTTGACTGATTGATTTATCCAAACCTAGATGTATTATTAATTTCTAATTCCATATGGACTCTATTTTACACCACAATGGAACGGAACTGCCAATTAATCAAATAAAATAACTGTATAACACGCGATAGATTCTAGTGATTTGAGCTTAATCCCCAAGTAAATTTATTATATATCAGTTCGCATGGATCATGTGGGAAATTAAATAGAATAGAAGAAGGTTTAAGGAAAAATGGTGAAACCCATATACTTATTATGCAAATATCGAGCACCAAAATGCTTACATTTCCAGTAACTGAGTCTAAAAAATCGTATGGTCTATTCATATTGTTGTTAATTAGTACTAATCAAATCCTGTTTGCCTCATCCTCATTTTTAGACTGTTTCCCAGTCAGGGGACGAAGAGAGTATCCACAGCGAGGGTGAATTTACTCTTGATCAAGTTGCTAAGCAATCTGCAGGCTGGGTTGCACCTTGGCGCGATCCTCTCCTTCATCTCATTGCCCTTGGCACATCCAATGTGACTTCCAAACTCCCCTGGAATCAACAGCAAAAGGTATGGTTTAAAAACTCAAGCTACTCATCAAATTAAGTAGCATGTATCGACTAACACAAAATAATCGTTTTAGATCAAGAAGGCGGCTGTCCTGCTAGATGAACGCAACGCACATAGGGAGGTTGTTTTCTCAGAACCCGATGAAATTGAAAGCAGTTCTGCTGACGATCTTAGCTGGGTGAAGAGGATAGCATCTACAAGAAGGGCCAAAAGACAAGCTGAAGCCTTAATTCCTCAAACCGCTGATAAATCAAATGGAGAAGTCAGTGTTACAAGTTCCGTCAAAGAGTTTCGAAGGGCTATTCTTGCTAGATCTTCTCAAAAAATGCGCCAGAGAGAAGCGAGTTTATCGGAAGGTTGGTAGATTTCTTTAAAATTCAAAAGTTTTAGGGAAAAAATATAAACGGCTTTCCTTAAACAATAAATAAGTTCACACTGTCTTGGAATAGACATAAGCCCATCAGATTCCCATAAAATTCGTACTTTAATAAAACAGTGAGCGCTTGGGTTTCTTAATGCCAACAACTGTCAACAGTCTTCTGTTCATCCTTTTTAAACATCGGCGTTGCTAATTAATTGATTTTTCTTCTGGCATCTAGAGGAAATCATAGTTCATTCCCTCTTTGTTATATCCCATTTGCTTTGTCCGTCAGTAAGGTAATATATGAATCGTTTTTCAAGACGTATACAGATAATATTTTGCTGTTTGTATTTGCTCGAACATTGAACTACTATTGCGTTTTTTATGTCTTTCAGGGGATAGTTCTGACGATACCTTAAGAGAGCTGCGAAATTCCCTTGAACACAAAGAAACTGGTGCTTCTTCTACAAGCAAATCACAGTCGAATGAAGAAACCAATGAACTTCACTTCCAAACGTCATAATTAAAGGCTTCAACAATGCCACCGAAGGAAAGTGTTTAATATTTCTGACTAACAGCTCTAGTCATCCCTTGTCACATATTTACTACCTGTCAGTAGTTGGAAATAACTAATTTATTTATATTTCGACTTGGATTTAAATGATTCCTGGGTGTAAATCCACTATGGTTATATCGTAGTAATTTAAATGGAAGCTAAAATGTTCATTAAGTTCTGTAATTTAAAGAGGTTGTTTTTAGGTTAATGATTCAGAGCAATACTTCGTTTTGTGAGAGGTGACAAATGACCTTGATCAGTTCGAATATTTGTTAATTTATAAAGTCAGGGTGGAATTGGGATGGGCTAAATGTTGACTTCATTAAAATACTAAATACTGGAGAACCTTAGAAATTAAAAATTGAAATAAATTCATTTTTTTGTGAATTTTATAGGTGCATCCTAACTCACATAAGGAGGATTTTAGTTCATACGTTAAATCAACCTTACTTTCCGGACTCCTAATGACTGAGATGAGGCAATATTATTTCAAATGAATAAATGGCATTTCTTGGTGGGAGAACTGATTTTAAAAATACTTTTAATTGGTTATAGAATTTGTTAAGCAGTTATTTCGTCTTGTCAAAAAATTTGTCTTATGAAAATATTTGTCTAGCGTTGCCGAAAGGGTGGTCATCTTACACAACCTTATTTTCACCCTACCGCCTCGTAGCCTTTCAAACTTGAGTGAATTTGGATTTCTTTGGCTTTATCTTTGTTTTCCAGAACAAGTACGCATTACAATCCTTTAGCTAAGCCGTGAAATTGCTTTCATTCATTCAGCGGTACGTTCATGAAATTGTGGGACACATCATCAATGACCAAATAGAAATCCTGCTATAGAACCCTACTCAGAAATATTTTAGCTATTAATGTTCACA